TATGGGGGCCACCGCAATTGTGGCACTTGGTGTGTGTTTGGCATTCCGACGTGGAATGCATTGTTGAGGTGCAGTTCCAGCACACTGGGGTGCACAAGCAACTCTGGGTCCCGTGGTATAAGAGACATCGCTTGCATTGGCTCACAGTTTGGCGTGGCTGATGGCGAACAGCTATTCCAGAGTCGTCGAACAGTCGGAAGCCTGGTTTAGGGACGGTCTCTCTTTCGAAATGAGCTACCCATATCTGGTAGGGGGCACACACTCTCCCTTTTCCATGAGGGCGAACCCTTACCGGAAACTTTTTAGTGACTCGGAGGATTTCATCTGCTACCATCTCGTCGGTGACAACTACTTTGCCTAGGAGTGTGTGAATTGCGACGGGAATTGTCGCAATACGAAGGGCCACCAAATCTGAGGCCTTTTCCAGGATTGCATCTACCTGGACGAAAGACTCAGAAGAGTCCAGAAGGAGCTGTCGTATCTCCTGGTTTTTGGCTCGAAGTGCGAAGCCAGTCGGAACACGGTATACATTTTCAATATTCTGCGGAGGGAGCTCGAGCACTTTTGTTGCCGCATCTCGCACACCAGCCGGCGAAAGAGCGCGCCAATCATGTTCTTTTCTGAGTCGAAGAAATAGACGATTATCTCTGGGGACAGTTTTCGAAGCCTTTGCTAGAGGTCTCGTTGGTGCCGAAGGTTCGTTGTGGACCCGAACATCTTTCACAGGTGCTGCCGGTGTGTGGAGGCCAGTTCGGGTAACTGTTGCCCAGATAGGCTTGACCGAAGCTATCCTTGCCTGGTTCTCTTTTTGTAGCTGCTCTGGCTGCTTTTGTATTGATTTTTCCACGATCTTTCCGCCATGATTCTGGCAGTTTGGTCGCGGGGGGAGGTTAGGAAGGACTGTTCCTGGTCCCGACAACATGAATTGAGCTATTGCAGCTCTAAGGTAGACTTTCATGGAGTCTATAAATTGAATACTCGGCCCTTTGGATAGAGGTGCGAGTGCATTCTCCACACCGTTGATGGCAGCAGTGCATATTTGTTCGGATTAGGTCCTGGTCAATGATGTCTAGCCTAATTGTGCTATGTTGCAGGCTACTGTTACAATTATTCATGGGGTCATCATCAGGGTTGTGAATAGTTTCGGTTCGGTGTGGGTTTTTAGATTGATACCTGAGCGTGTCGCATAGTAGTCAGACATGCGACTCGAGTAGCATATGCACTGTAAACCTCAACCCCAAAATGATGATACGAATCAAGCTTTACATGCTACGTCCTGTATGGCTAGCGTGGTTGGAATATGGGGAATTTACCTGTAGATATATAAAGACGTTGTAGCCCTCTGATAGTTGGGACAAGTCTTCTACGATATTATATCGGAATCAATACTAGCCTCTCTGTTTGGATTAGGTTGTAGTTGACAATTCCTAACCTAATTGTGTTAGATTGCAGGCTTCTGTCTTAGGTATTCATGGTTTCGTAATTAAGGTTATTGTTAAGGTTTAGCTTCGGTTATCTCACTGATTACCGAGCCGGCAGTATATCAAGGAGGCATGTAGCTAAGGTGGAAATATCGCACGGTAAACTATATCTGAAGCTGCTACGTATTGTAGTAGCTAAAAGAATACTGCTATTTGGAAACTACATCTCCATCCCAGAACCATGAGATAAATCAGGCTATGCACGCTAGATATAGAATGGCTAGCGGATATGGTGAATATGGGGGTAAATACGTAGATATATAAAGACATTGTAGCCTCTAAATTTGAGGACAAGTCTTCAACCAAATTAGATCGGAATTAATCCTAGCCTCTCATAAAGCAATCTCATGAATCTATTTTCGTGTCTGTGATAACAGACCAATAAACAAAGTCGACGATCAAGTTTAAAGTCGATTACTCTCATTAAGCAATCTCATGAATCATTTCCAATGTCTGTGATAATAGACATACATATACAATATCGACAACAAGTTTTAATGTCGATAAGTTATGAGCCCGGGAACTGTCGACAACAACTTCAATGTCGATAAATATTGTAAGGTTAAATGCGGTCTGGGCCGCCCGATGTTCTTCGGCTTCAAGTATGGCTCGAAGCTCGGGAGGACAAGTCGCAGTCTTATTGGAGCTACCATCGCTGCAAGAAGATTGACTGTTTCCACTTGCCCCTGGGATGGTATTCTGAGGTGTTGTGATGGGCGCGACTTCGTCGGCTTTTTTTAAGTTAGCGTTAGCTGTCCACTTTATGGCCGGCACAGCAATCTTTCTCGTGACTGAAATAACGGGAGGCTCTGAGACTTGACCGTCTTTGGGTTCATTGATATTCCATCGTGAGCTCTCAAGTGTTACAGGCTATTGACTTGTAGATGGGATCCGGAGTTTATCCGGCTCCTAGGAGTTGATTATGTCAGCGATAAGCGAGACAACATCTAGGGGGTGATCCCACAAGTTTGTAGTTTTTCTCTTTAGACACAAAATAAACCCATTTTGGATACACTCGTGCGGACAGCTATTCACTCTGGTGCCATCCTTTCACATCAAGTCCCTCCCTGATATATCGATCAATAACCGCATCACCCATTTCGACATCGGGGTTCGTGGAGTTGAAGTCTTCTTCGAAGACCCCTATCCTTTCGGTCATGTCCAGCTCCATCTTTCGCTCGTCCATCGGGCTCAATGGTATGTTCTTTTTTGCCAAGCGCTTTTCCAGCCTGGTTTTCGCTCTATCAATGGTTCTTTGAAGGCGAATAGGTCGCGATGATTTGGCAGGCCCTGGAAACATGTTGGAGATTCGGGGTCTTGCTACTGAGAGAATTCGGATTAATGTAAATGTATGTGAGTCGGAAGGGAACGGTAATGGTAATGGGGTATCTAATCAATCATCTCACGAATATTCAGGACTTTTAGCACCGGTCATGTGTCATAGCTAGATGGCTGAATACACATTAGATAACTTAGAAAAAAGAACTCTCCGGTCAGAGATGTGAAATTGTGGAGATCCCGACATCACGAGCTAGTGAAAAAAATGTGTTTATTCCTTTCCTGTGACTACTGGACGGATTCTCTTAGCTGAATGAAATTAATTGAACCAAGCCGGCAAGATATCTGGAAAGTTAGTGAAGCCGTTACGAAGTATCCTGTAAATACTTAAGGTTAGTGGCAGGAACACATGAATCTATTAGCGGAAAGTTATTAGAGCACGATTGGAGGACAAAGTGTCAACGGCTAAGAATAACCACCAAAGAAGTTGGACAAAGAAATGTCTCAGATCAAAAATAGGGACTGTCCATACATACGTGGGTTATTTGTTTCGGTCAGTGCTTCAATTCTGTATTTAGAACTGCAGGTTATTCTATTTCTAGCGCATGTCTATATTTAGAGATCAAGTCAATCATGATCAGTGTATATAGTCCTAGAATTCGGGGAGAAATAGAAATCAAGTTGTTTTTACTGAGTTATCTTTTACTTTAATTACGTACACTTCGCCTGTCACAGGTCAGGCTCCCAGTTACCTGACACAAAGGCCGAACAACTGTCAGTGGTATAACAGTTTCGATAAAGAAAGCTTGGGCGTTTGTGTGTCCAAAGGTTATTTATTTATGTACTGAAGAACAAAAATACTGCGACATCCACCGCCCTATTTATCTAAATGATCCCAATATTCCGAACACTAGCAGCTGTCCTCTTGTCGGGCTAGGGGGACCATTCTCAAAACCTGTCAATGGTGTCCCCTACGAACCTCCAGCTCTCACTGTAGAGTCTGCAGAGCCGAGATTGAGTAAAAAAGTCCTCTCTTCGACGAGGGTTCCCAATCGCTTTCGCCGTCTGTATCGTCTTCATCTCTCAACACATTCCCCTACCACCATTACCATGAAGCTAACCACGATCAGATCAGATGGTAGGGTCGAAGCCCTTTTCACCAATCCTTGATCATGGAGGAAAAGCCATCCGATGGGTTTCCGGAGCGTACCCAGCACCCGATACGGAGATGGCGGATTGGATCAAGTCGGCCTCGACTTTTACAAAGAAGGGAGACATAGATGAATATGCGCACCTCATGTGGTCACGGTGTCTAGGCCTCGCCTGGCTGGGGCTGCAGTTTTTTTGAGACTTTTTCCCGCGCACGCAGTTTCCATTGCTACCATTTTTATTTTTTTGGGTAGAAGGTTCCGTGGAAAAGGTGGCTGAATTCCACGGGTAAATACTGAGCTGAATGGCTATTCATCAAGGGGAATATATCAATGATCTTTCAAGTAAAAAAAGAGGATAGAAGCACTGTAAAAGTTGTGGCCTGGGTCAGAAAGGAGCCCAATGTGCTAGATAGTCATAGACTCAAGTAGTACAATAAACACAAACACACACATTCAAGATGAACGTTTTGAGTAAAGTTTCCACTAGTTTCGAAGCGGCAACCCCTAAGCAAGAACTATTTAGTTTTTTTATTGGCTAATATTTTTTTAGCTTTCGCTTGCTTAATCGTTTGTTGTGAAGGACTTATCATATCCAAAAGAATATATTATCGAGTGATATCACTATCGTACTACACCTATTAAAGAGCGACTCCAATGTTTTTGTGAGAGATATTATTAGATATAATTTTGAATTAATATTTGATCCTTTGAGTAAGCAAGATACTTCTGGGACATAAGCAATCAGCATTATGGTTCAAATACACTAGGGAGTCCAATTGGTACCTAGATGGTTAGCTATACTCGTAAGAAACTAATTTTGAATTTTAAAACGCTCAAGGTTGTCTTGTCCGCAAGAAACTTTTTGGAGATATTAGATTTGTTTCGCTTAAAAATGGATGGGATGAGATAACCTGCAGTGATGACATATGTTAGGTTTAATTATAACCTTAAATCAATTCAGAATAAATTACGAATAGCACTTGTACTTCTCGATCATTGCTTCCTAGAGTAAGCGATGGGTATTCTAAAATTTAAATAGTAGTTGCAGTTTTGTCGTTGATTGTTAGAATATGACCGGTCTTTTTGCAGGCTAATCGTCACAAAGATCCTCTAGCATCTCCAACATTCTTCTTTGTAGCTTCACTAGATCAACTTCATTTATCATTTCTTTTCCGTCTAGGGGTTGATCACTTTTTTTGTTGGCAGGTCTAACTAGTTCCGTCTTCGTACCGAAGAAAGGAACGCCAAGTCCTCTTAGTTTGGTGTTCATTTCTCGAACCATTTGAATCTGCGCCTTGTAAACTTTGAGATCAAAAGTATGTAGCTCTCCAGTGATGTCAACTACAACATTCCCGGAGATAGATGCGCCTCCTACTGCCTTCCTGCAGAATATTAGCTTTCAGTTTAAGCTAACGAAAATATCTACTAGTGAGAATGACATACAGTACTTCGTCTAGTTTCTTCTGCCCTTCTTCCCGGGCCTTTAACTTCTCAATAAGTGCATTGCGTCCGTTCCACCACTGTTCCTCATGCTCATGCTGAAGTTTAATTAACTAAGCCCTGTTAATTCCAAAAGTAAGCAAAATAATGCCAAACCAACTCGTCTTATTTCATGTATAACATTTTCATGTTTGGCAACTGTTTTCATGGCACATCGAAGGCCAGCAGACCATTCCAGTATAGTAGTGGGGTCAACGACCTTTTTCTGTGAACTCTCGATGGAGACATTCCGAGATGGGCCGCTCTGTCCAACCGGAGGAAGAAATGACTGTAGTGTTGGAGCTGGTTTGTGATAGAAATCGAACGGCGGTGCAACGTGTCCTATGGGAACCACATTTTCAGGTTGCGAAGTTCTCGTGATTGTCTTGTCAGATTGCAGCTCCTGCTGATGTTGCGGAGTTAAGTCTGCCAAAGTCTTCAGAATGGAAGCTAGATCAGGTGCTTGACTGTTCATCTTCGCATACGGATTTCTATGATGTTCAATTGCACCATAAATCTATTGGGTATTCAGCATGATTAAGTCAATTAACATCGTCTTACACAAATCCAAGTTGGGAGGCGTGTAATTGGCTCCTGCCGTATTACTAAACAAGACGGTCACTTCGTCTAAATACATGCCAAGACCATGTACATATGTGGGTAATTACCACTTACGCTAAGCCATGATAGGATCGTTACATAATCATCCAAGGACCTAAATCCCATGGCTAGTTACTCTGAAGTTAATCTATCTGTAGAGGACGAGTAGTTTTCATTGACACAATGCCGCCCCGGTCTGCAATTGATGCAACGCGTTTTACTTCTACAATACCACATGCCTCATCAATACCGCCAAAAATTGAATCAAGGAGGACACCATCAAGGATACCGGGACTTCCAGGAGAGACACCGCAGGAAAAAGTGAAAAGACTGCGTGCAGCAGCAGATAGAGCACGGAATGCACAAATGACCCAATTTGATCGATTTATTGCGCGGGGTAGGGTTTGGGCAGATATAGCGCATACAATTACGACTACAACCCTAATAGCAGCATCATGTGCGTACCTTAGGCTGGCGAAGTAAAAAATAAGTCAGAAAAATCATAGACGCTGACTGATACATAGTTATTGCCGGTGGCGTAACAATCTATGCGCTAACAGATATGATTATTTACAACCGTAGAAAAAAAGCGCAGTTTTTCCACGAGCAAAAAACACAGCTCGAGAATGCAATTTTAACGGCCCGCAAAGCTATAAATGATGGAACTGCCACTGAAGCACAGATAAATTTCATCAAAATGGAAGATGAACATAAATCTGCCAAGCCCAAAGAAAAGATGAACTTAATTTCAAAAAGCAAGGAATGGCTGTTTTCAGGGCTCAAGATTGATGAAGGAGACCTTATTGAAAAAAGTAACGCACCAAAAGATAACCCTGGTAGAGGAGAGAGTACAAGCTCTATAAATGCCAACGATAGAGTAATATCTACACTGTCCATGGAAAGGCAAGATCTTGTGAATGCGAAAGATCAGATTAATACTGAGAAATCTCTCGGAGAAGATAATAAGAAGCTCAGCGCTAAAAAAGAAGAAAAGAATGGAGGCAAACCTTGGTCATCATGGATATTTGGACGATAAAGCGTTAAATCTACTGTACAATGGCATGTGTAATATCTTTACGAGACCTCTTAAGAGCAAGGAATATCTACCGCCCAGCGTCCAGGAAAATAGTGAAGCAACCTTCACTGGATACTATGTTACTGATGAAACCTTGAATATTACGGACTATACCACTGAAAATGCGTTACCAAGGCTGAGCACCTCAAATCAAAGCTTAAAGATGTTTTGAACTTGATCGTGGGAAAGTTCAAAACCTGAAGCCATAATAACAGGTCCTATCGCCTATAACAGGCGAAACCTTGACAAGTGTAGAGACAGAATACAGTTATTAACCTGATTTTAGAGAAGCAAAGAGCTTTCTTAATACTCAGTTACGGGTTCTTGGTCACCGTGAGAAGAATGGTGAATACGAAAACTTTTGTATTGAATTTACTCGCATCAACGCATTACGTTTAGCGGAAGATGCCTAAATTAATGACCTAAAGATCTTAAGCATTCGTTAAGAATTTAAAAATCTAGTGAATGAAACTTATTTGTTACTCGAAGTCAAGAATGCAAAATATGCTCAAGGCTGTAAATATAGGTATATTTTTATTGTTAAATTCTCTACAAGCAGAAGTGATAGGACAGTTAGTTCTTTATCCATCAAATATGATTGACTCGACAAAATATGTTGTGGTAAGTAAACCCTTCCTCCGTCTCCTATTACCTTCACGACACGAGATAAAGTTTCTGATTTCTAATACCCTCCCACCCTAAAATATTAATTATTGACCCTAGATATGTACTTGTTAATCTTCGAGTTTTACAAATAAGCCATCCTCTTGCATACTACTGTCCCAAAAATGTTTGGGCTTTAAAGGTATTCTATTTATTGAACAAAATGTATACGGATTTGTCAAACTCAACCTTAAAGAATAGAATATAGACGAAAAATTATGACGAAACTCCTCCCGATCCCGTAGCAGCACAGAATCTCCCGCTCTCAATATATTGACATTGTGACGGAAACCGAGTTGGTGATGAATAAATCGATTGAATAAACTTTATGAGGAGAAAAGCTAACTCTAGCTACTACTAACAGGTATTTATAGGAGTTAATCCTCCTCGTGAATCTACAGACTAGTGACTTGTCCTTAGGCACAATACTTCTTACCCAGCCACGTATTTCCAGGTGTCACTAAGTTGTAATAACGCTTCAGCCTCCTGAGTAGTAGTCCCGATTCGTTCAGCTTCATCTCCCCCTCATACAGCCTCATAGTAAGAATTCTTAGTAACAGGCTTAGGTATCCACCTAAGCTCAAACAACGGTCAAACCGTAACAGACATGCATTTTTTTTTACAGGAAGAAATTATCTTACAAGGCCATGATATATCCTTTTATCACACATGTATTCACTAAATTTTTGTCATTGAATGAAGTCGTGATCTGAATGATCGGACCAAATTTGCGAAGTTAATTATGAATTCCTAAAATAATGATGTTAGGTAGGAAAAAGTTTACGGTGCAGTTCAAGATCGTTTTTAATAAAATATTAATTTGCGTGGGAATAACTTAACGGGCCCCGAAAACTAAATTAAACATGAGGCGCTGACGGTGAATGGGAGGGGGGCTTTCACCATACCTTTTTTATTTAGATTTTAATTGCGTATACAGCCATCTAGCTTGGACACAATATCAAAGTAAAGTACATAATAGACGACTCAAATTAAAGGAAGAGTATTCATGCCTCAGATTTCATCTGTAGGCACCACTGCGAAGTGATGGTGGCTATTTCTTCACCCCAAGTTAACCCTCATCCGTCAATACCCACTCAGGGGAACGTCTCAAAAATCCTGAGTTATCCAGACATACCTCCGTCATCCATTATTCTTTATCTGCGCGAAATGTGATCTAAGGCGACTCCTTCCCAAGTAGAGTAGGTGTGCAGGCTACTCAAACTATACCAGAGACAACCACCAGGAGGCGAGACACGGCATCTTCCATCGTTGACTTGTGTTTATAGTGTTTCACCAGATCCCGCAACAGTAGTCACTTCTCGAAAAAAAACATCATTTTTCACGAAAAGCGGCATCACGTTCCACGAACGTTACTTCATCGTTTTTAGTATTGCATTCATCTCAATCGATCCCTCTTACCTGATTCCCCGATTTATTTTCGTTGCGTTTCGGCATGGCGAGGTGAAGAGCCAGAAAGGTGGATTTCGTGGCTGAAATTTTTTTCACGGCACCACCACAACCAACAATGTGGAAAAGATACCGTTAGCTTAGGACCAAAAGTAAAAAAATTTTATCCCGCAGCCGAGATTCAGTCACGAAAAAGGGTGGGATGGATTTTATGTGATGGATTTTCGACTTGAAGGAGTTTCACCCGATATTTTGGTCGAAAAATCAGTCAGTAGAGATTTCACAGCCGGAACAAAGTTGAACAAAAGCTCCTCACCACCAACATACGATTCAAGGATGGGCCTAGGTCTATCTGGGGGTCGTATTCAAACATCTGACATCTCTCAAACTCCTTTTATATTTGCGACAAGGCATTTCTCAGTCGATCCTATACCTGCGACCCACTTCCATACTCGTCCGATCACCTACCTACACACGCCCTAATGAGGAAAGTCATGATGGAAACGGGACATGTACAAAGGATGAAGAAAAGGGAAGACACACCGAGGGGATTACACAAATCACCAATGACGAAAACAACCCAACGGTACAATATGAAGGTGCAAGGCTAGAGCAACAATGAGATTTTGGTCGGCATTTATATTTCGGAGTCAATGAGGATGTCAAGGGCTCGGGCGCGTGGTGGCCGAGGCTGAGGAGGAAATTGCGCTACGGCGAGTATACATCTGGTTTCTGGACGGTTAGGCTTGGTATGATTCAACACATAGGTGAAGTCTGAGGTGGTCCGGTCATTAAAGTGGGACGAGGTTTATTTGTACTTTACTGTAGTTAACCTGATCCGGCCCGACCCCACACGTGCTTAAGCTCCAATAGGAGTGCAATAGTAGTCATGTAACCTAGCACGTTAATGAACAAAACAAAACAAACGAAATATGGGCAGCGGAATAGCCGCAATTACGGCTGTAAATCTTCTCGCAACATCTTCAGGCGTCAATATGAATTCTTAAAAGACAGTGGGGACATATTTAAGTGAGGTCCGAGGCAGACTGGTGAATACAGGTACTTACATATGTGCGGTACCGATGGTGGAAATAGATGAGGCTCTTGACGCCTTCAAATCCTACACTCAGATGTTACAATATAAGATATCTGCGAAGCCAATGGAGGAAAGAATGCTGGCCTTAGAGAAGGCATTGACGAAGAGTCTCAAGGAGCCGGCGCGCAAGGCGGCTACTCAGTCGGCACAAACAATGGGAGGTCGACCAACCTATGCCTCAGTCGTCGCACGGCCAGCAACCAAAGAAGCAGTTCGGATACGAGTTCAAGGATCAGACAAGATGCAGCCGGCAGAACTGCTTAACAAGGCAAAACATTACATCGATGGTGCTTACGCCGTAAGGCAACTACGGAGCAGCGATACTGAGGTGTTCGTGCAGTCGGTCTCCCAATGAGACGCTGCCTTGAGAATAGCGCAGCCTAAGGTGTTCTGCGTCCTAAAGCAAGATTATCCTGTTGAAATTTTAGGGGTCCGCCGAGGACAATAATACACGGAGGAAAGAACGCCAACAGCAGTGTGGTAATTGTAAAATGACAACGGAGACAAAATCTCGGGTTCCTTGAATCAAAACCAACATGGTGAGGTGGCTCAATGACGGCAAAGAGCACCAATGGATGGAAAAGAACGGCCATACTTGAGAGCCAGTAATTGCAAGACTACCGATAGAGGCTCTACAACGCGAAGTGACTCGAAATGGTATTGTAATGGATTCAATACTATATACGGCCCAACTCTGGTCACCCCGGGCATAAGTCAAGTAGTACTTAAAGTGCAGTCAATGGGGTCATACCCAAGCACCATGCAGCAAGGCAAGGCCCACTTATCGTGGCAGAAAGGGACGTGTCCAGCGGGTTCGCAATGGACTTACAGTGAAAACGACGGAATTAGGAAGGGAAAGCGATGCATTCACGGCAACTACACTAACAATAGCGGCAAAGCAAATAGACGACCAAGGGTTCACATTTGTGTCCAACCAAAGGCCAGTGGTTATAAAGAGAGGTCCTGGACCCCCGCGTAAACCAGTCCAGGTTCCAACCCCAACACCACAACAATTTGCACCATCGGGGTAGAATGCAAGACCACAATCATCACTTTTCGGCACGCGAGGGTAGGGAAAGGTTGGCGAGGTTCATTTAAGCTAGTTCTGTCTTGGACTAATGGCCAATTACACTTCCTATAGGTAACAAAGGACTATAGAGAAAAATCAAGTTTAATAGGGGGAGGGGTTTTTTATGGTAATGGTATCCCCCTATGTAAATATATAATTAGGTTTACAGCAACCTGAATCGGCCCATAATAATAATTATTTATTATCCTGATTTGGCGCCTTGAGGCCCATGCAGGTTTTATCGAAAGACATGTACTTTAAGTAGGATGACTCAATTTGACGTTTAGAACACTCACACCCCGACTTCATTTGCAGATACCACTCGAGGTTAACTCTTACGGCGTATAACCTCTTCCTTGCATACCCACCACAGGGAAAAGCGTGAAAAACCTGTGGCTGTTCGAGTGTGCTTTCATCATCCCAGAAGTACAATATCACCGCGGGGGACTCTTCTCAAGACCTGTCGGTGGTGTCCCCTACGAACCACCAGCTCTCACTGTAGAGTCTGCAGAGCCGAGATTGAGTAAAAAAGTCCTCTCTTTGACGAGTGTTCCCAATCGCTTTCGCCGTCTGTATCGTCTTCATCTCTCAACACATTCCCCTACGACCATTACCATGAAGCTAACCACGATCAGATCAGATGGTAGGGTCGAAGCCCTTTTCACCAACCCTTAATCATGGAGGAAAAGCCATCCGATGGGTTTCCGGAGCGTACCCAGCACCCGCTACGGAGATGGCGAATTGGATCAAGTCGGCCTCGACTGTTACAAAGAAGGGAGATATTGATGAATATGCGCACCTCATGTGGTCACGGTGTCTAGGCCTCGCCTGGCTGGGGCTGCAGGTTTTTTGAGACTTTTTCCCGCGCGCGCAGTTTCCATTGCTACCATTTTATTTATGTTAGGTAGAAGATTCCATTGAAAAGGTGGTTGAATTCCATGGGTAAACACTGAGCTGAACGGCTATCCATTACGGGCAATATATTAATGATCTTTCAAGTAACATGAGAGGCAAGAAGCACCGTACAAGGTGTGGCCTGGGTCAGAGAGGAGCCCAATGTGCTAGATAGTCATAGACTGAAGTAGTACAATGAACAAAACACACACAGATGTGGAGGGTTTTCACCATAGAGGTTTCCTCCCGTGTAAATTTTACAGCCAGTAGACACCTGCATGGGCCCTTAGGGCGCTAAATCAGGATAATGATATTGTTGGTATGACAAATGTCATACAATAAATGTCTATTAGTTCACTTAAAGTTATGATAGTACTTGTGTAAGTATTTCGAACTATTGTTCAGAAGAAATGCGCATTCATTGTTCATTCGCTTTCTTCTGAGTTGATGCTATGGAATTGCTATCTAGCCTACATTCGGATAAAGCATTATCCGAATGTCATAATCCACAAATCAAGAGTACTAGCCAATACAATGCTACAACCAGTGGCTCCAAATAACTCTATCTAGATGAATCATTCCGAATGATATCAATTTCAAATAATTTTTGGTTTACTTAACCCAACACTTGCGCGCAGCATGTATTTTGAGATATCACGTTACGATTGGCTTGTGGGTCCCAAAAATTCGAGCCATGGTATCCCTGCACAAGGTTCGGAATAACTATTACACACAAATTTTCTGCGAAACAACTTTCCATCCTGACAAGAAGCAGTCTTCACAGATAGAGAGGATATGCTACACAGATCACAACAGACTTTTACATATAGACATACATACATACATGTACAACAAGGGCCTACTGATATTGATACTCAAGACGCACAAATAATTATTTTACACTCAGAACGTTATTTACTTTATTGTGATTCATCTAGATTTGGTTAATATAGAGCTTCAAAAATTACGAAGCATAAGAAAATGGCAATTTATGCCGGCAAAAAGTAATCTACACCTGACAGAGAGCGCGACTCTTTAAAAGTTTCGCGCCTCAATGGAAAAGGTTGATAAAAATTCAGAGAATCTCAGCAAAAAGGTTAAGGACAATCAAGATCAGATCGAGGAGATGATTTTCAGTTCAACAAAACAACGGCACAGTCAGCAAAGTATAAGGACGTTGAGTTTGCTTTGGAGGAAGAAAAGACATCAACAAATACCCCTACAGCATAAGTTATTTTACTTCATTTCTTACTAAACAACCTCGATCTGAGCATTACTCTTCTGACCCTTGTTATCTGTATGGTCAACTTCATTTTCACAAGACCTGCCGCACTCGTCATGCTGACAACCATAAGAAAGCTATCCATGGAAGTTGGTCGGCTGTTGTATTACCCTTTGAGATCGACAAAAGAGTCGAGAACTCAGCCAAAAATAAGTTTGTCACTTCACAATCACTTCGTAAACACAGAGCCGATAAGAAGATATATGAGAAGCCTTCAAACAGCTCTTGTACCTTTCCCACTTTGGCCTGCTCAAATATCCCTTGAACCCGATGGTGATTTCATGCACGTAGCAACCTAGGCTCAGGATTATTCACTTTCTTTGGTCTTTTTTGTCGAAACAATAATTTCTATACTTGAGCCCCACAACAAACCAGAAACTGCTATAACGTTTTTCTCTTCTATGTTGCCAACAAAGAAAGAGTCTTATATCGGGTTTTCCTGGAAGATTTGTCAAGCATTCTATTGGTTGCTACCATTTCAGCACGACATATCTTCGATTCTCAGCATTCTCATCATGAAAATCCAGCAATATATGCCTTGTGTATAGTCTTGCTTGCAAAATGTGCATCATTCATACACCAACGTAGCCCTGATCGAATAGACAATCTAACGTGCTGAAAATATTTCTCAATTTGTAGTAGAAGACCATATTTTTGTAATCCCTTCTACCAGTATTCTACTTGAAGGAAGCTTGGACCCGCTCTATGACCTTAAAAATGTGGAAGGAACTTCTGGCAAGACTGGTCAAGCTCTAATAATTTCACCTATGACTGACACTATAACAATTCCCGTCCCTAGCAGTGAGAATCGGGATATCCTCAAAACCGATGAGTGTGCATGTGGTGATCCGAAGTCTGACTATGCCTTCCCAACTCACGAGAGCTTCAATAAATGTTTCGGATACGGTATAACTGGTCACTTCAAGTGCCACTGTCCCGACTATGGTTGAGATATTCAGTGCCGAAATAACTCTGATTATATTTGCAGTCGCACTATAGATGTCACTTTGAAAGGACAGTTGGATTTTGAAACCAAACCTGGATTTCTTGAAAAATGTAAGAGGCGAAATAATAAAAGTGGTAAGGACAAGGTTAAGACACACATGGCTAATGACTACAAAAACAATACATCTGATTCTGAGAATCGGAGCCCGGCCGACCGCATTGAAGACAGTCAAGTTAGTATTAAACAAGCCGCTTCATTACAAGTAGTCGATAATCAATAGGAGGCCCGGACGTTTGTTTTGTGGAAGTGAACGTTACTGGGAATGAACAACTTCCTCTACAGGATAAATATCTTAGAAGTGTTGAGCAGATTGGTTTGCAAAAGCTTGTGGCTGTTAGGCACAGATTGTATCACTTGGTGAAGCGAGTGGGAAAGTAAAGGAGTCTGTAAATCTGTTGTGGAGAGTTGTTAATTACTCCCACTAGGACACAGAGTGCAATATAAACTATATTTTGTAATAATAAAATCTAGTGGTTGGTATTTACGTCAAAGCGCATTAATACTAACCTCACAATTAATGGGAGATTAGTGACGTGTCTTCTACACATCCCTGTCTTTACCATAATTGGAAGCACCAATTTCAATACCCCTTCTCACTTTGTACCAAAAATTTTTGTGCATAAGTGGTTAAGTCTCGGTCTTGGTAGGCCTTTTGTACAAATATCTGCAAGATTTTCACTTGAAGGAATGTGTAGTAAAGTTAGCGAACCGTCATCAATTCTTTCTCTAGTGAAATGGTAAGCGATATCAATGTGCTTTGTAGCGTCATTGATTTTATGATTGTAAGCAAGATCAATAGCGGAGTTATTGTCTGTTGAAAGGGACGAGGGTATATTTTTGTTCACTAGTTGATGAAGCCCACGTGTCATCCAAAGGAATTGTCTAGCTGCAAGTGATAGTGCCATATACTCAGCTTCACAAGTGGAGTGAGCGATGGTACGTTGTTTGCGAGACTTCCAGGCGACTGTGGATCCTCCTAGTTGGAACAAATAACCCGAGAAGCTCCTTCGAGTATCTAGACAATTTCCGTACAATGCGTCACAGTATCTGTTGAGTATCAAGGGAGATTTGAACTCATATGTGAGTTTTAAATCTCTTATTCCTTTGATGTATCGCAAGACCCGCTTGACCGCACTTAGATGAATGATTGATGGATCCAAACTGAATTGTGAGAGATATGAGATTGCATATGCAAGGTCAGGCCTCGTTGCAGACACGAAATACATTATAGATCCGAATATTTGCTGATACAGCGTTGCGTTAGCCCTAGGTTCTCCATTTGTCGCTGCCATCAGTCGTTGGTTACACTCGATAGGCGTGGAGACCGAATTGCAGTCTTGCATAGAAAATCGATTCAGGACTCTATCTATGTATGTGGTTTGCGACAAGCTGATTCCAGCATTACAGTACTCAATTTGAATTCCAAGTAGCCAGTGAAGTGTTCCCATATCTTTGACCTTGAATTCGGCTTTAAGCGGGTTAACAGTTTCACTCAATAGCGAATCTTGTTCTCCAAATAGTACAATATCATCCACATATACCGCTAAGTATAATTCTCCTGTATTGTGGATAAAGACACAGGGATCAAAGGGTGACAAAGAAAACCCGAGGGGAATGATAAATTCAGCCAACCTGAAAAACCATTGCCGTGGTGATTGCTTCAATCCGTATATACACCTATTAAGTTTTGCAACATGGCCCTCTTGCCTGTACCCTTCAGGAAGTTCCATACAGATTTCTTCATTCAAGATCCCATATAGAAATGCGGTTTTTATGTCAAGTTGTCTTGGTCTCCAATTTTTCGAGGCAGAAATTGCTAAGAGTATTCTTAAAGAATCAAATCGCACAACTGGAGCGAATGTTTCATCGTAATCTAGTCCTTGGATCTGTGAGAATCCTTTTGCGACGTAACGTGCTTTGTATCTTTCGATTTCCCCATATGCATCTTTTTTAATTTTGCATACCCATTTGCCACCAACAACTTTGCGACCTGCAGGACGAGGAACAACGTTCCACACATCATTTTGTTTGAGGGATGACATCTCTTCTTCAAATGCTATTTTCCAGTCTTCCCAGTTTGCTGATGCCTTAGCACCATTGTACGTTTTGGGTTCTGATACATCAATGACATTCAAAAGTGCTAATTCTTGTCCCTCATCACCACTATTGTTACCATTCGAACTTTGCAATGCGGGTTGATGAAGATCACGAGAAGTTTTCCACCACTCCCCCGTTGTCGTATCTTCATAAGTTCGAGGACGTTTAGTGCTTTTAGGTCTGGAATTGACATTGTTATTATGATCTTGATTAAAAAGATTTTGAGAAGATGTTGAAGCAGAAGTTGAGGCAGATGGTTGAGGTTCGAGTTGAATATAAGTTGGTACTGATGACTCTTGCAATGGTTCTGACTGAGACAGATAAATAGGATCTTGATTATGAGAGAGATCTTGAATGTTTTGTCCTTCACCAACATTAGAGGAATTTTTCCAATTGTTTAACAATATTGTTGACGTTATTGGAGTTTGTTGATGAATCTTGTGTGGAGACAAGGTTGATGTTAGATCAGCGACAGGTTGATCACCCTCGTAGGGGATAAACTTTACATCAGCCAATATAACTATCTGTTTCCTTGCAGGAACAAAAATTCGATATTGATGATCAGTTTTGGTGTATCCAACAAATATACCTTTCTCAGCATTTGGTAGAAGTTTGCATCCTGATGGTCGCTTAGCCATGGGAATATGCACATAAAATTCTTGACCAAATGGATGAAGGTGTAGAATGGATGGTTTTCTTGCGTGGAAAGCTTCATATGGCGTCTGTCCATTAACAGCACTATGTGCCTGACAATTTTTAGTGTAGATGAAGGATTTTGCTGCTTCAGCCCATAACCGCTTATCTTTAATTGATGCGAGAATTGCACGAACTCCTTCGATAAAAGATCGATTTAGCCTTTCAGCTACTCCGTTTGATTCGGGAGAATAGGGAGGCGTCAGATGATGACTTATCCCCTTCTGAACCAGAAAATTGGAGAGCATTGCATTGACATACTCACAGCCGTTGTCTGTTCTGAGTGATTTAACTTGACAATTGTATTGCGTTTCTAATGCCTTAACAAAATTGATAATAGCCTGAGCCGCCTCAGATTTGTGTTTAAGGAATTGAATCGTGGTACAGCGTGTTGCGTCATCAACAAAACTTATGTAGTATAGTGCATTGCCATACGACAGAACAGGAAACGGTCCGGCAAGATCTGAGTGAATGTATTCGCCTTTCGATGTTGATCGTGCAGCTGATGAGGCTGGCTTTTTGTGTGCGGATTTAGATGACATGCAGGAATCACAGTGAAAGTTCTTTGGGCAATTTGGAATTACACCTGAGTTCTGGATGAGCTTCTCTGTCTTGGTTATCGTCGAAGGAGATGCATGACTGAGGGCTTTATGCCAGAATTCATAGGTGGAGCAAGCTACATCATTTTTACGTGCGACTTCCCTGATCACTGGCAAGGCACCGTCGTAATGAGCTTCCAACCAGATTTTATTATTTTTGTATATAATCATCACTTTGCCATTGTCATGGAGTAAGTATCCCTTGGATCTAGCTTTCTTCCAAGAAAATAGCGGTAAAGATAAATTTGGCACATATAGTACATCATTAACCTTGAAAGTTGACACAGTTCCATCTCATATCTCACAGTGTAACAACACGCTTCCTTTCCCTTCGATTGACATTCTCTCATTTGAACTTGACATCACATAACCGGAGCAAGGCACGAGTTGTTCGAATCGTTCTGGGTAAGGACACATGTGAGCAGTTGCGCGAGTATCAAAATAAAATAGATGACTAACCTGATCAATGCCCGTAACGGTTATATTTGCCCGTTGTAAGGTTATTTCAGATTGTGTCAAATTCGGTTGGGACAATTTCTCTTTAAGTCTAGGGCAAGAGTTATAAACATGCCCTTTATACTCGGTCGGAAAACGTTTCTTGCAGAAGGAACATTCGTTCGACGAGGGGCGTTTGGAACGCTTGGATACCCTTCCAGGTTTTCTTGGCTTGAGAGAGTTATTGTCTGCTTTGCCAACTTGCGTAATGAGAGCTGTTGGAGGAGGTGCAGTGCGATCTAGATCAAGAAGACGTTGTTTAACAACAGCATAGGTACAATTGTCCTTAGTTGTCAAGTTATCAACTACATCCTTATGATGTTCACAGAAAGAACTCAACAAGTAACTCCTCTTAACTTCATCATCATCAAGAAAGTCGGCTAGCTTGTGGCGGTTAGAGTTTGAAGATTCTCGGGCTAACAATGTTAACCGATCATACTCTGTCTCAAATTCGTCGATTACCGAACTGACAGTGCGACTTGGATCGTATGCATTTGCGAGGAGCGCAATCGATCTAAGTTGGTGGATCAATGTAAAAGAGCTGTTCTGGTGGTACTGCTCTTTTAAATACTTCCACATCAAGTGAGGGTCTTTGAGTTTTAAGATCTTGCCAAGGATCTTTGAACCGACGACCTGAATATATATATTTACAGCAATACTCGAAAGCTGGCTGTATGCTCCTTTTTCTTCAGGCGAAGCGTCCTTGTCCGGCTTTTTGCCGTCGACTACAATCTCGTTGAGTCCCTGCCCTTCAAATACTGCAGTCATTGTAATGGCCCACAACTCATAGGTTTCAGGACCAGTGAGGTGGGTTACATTGGTTAATGACATTGCGCGCAAGTAGTTGGTTCCGAGTCTCGAAGCGAAGAAGCCGGTTTTCGAAGACGAGGATTCCATTTCTGTTGAGCGGTTAGAAGACTTCTTTCGAGATGAGGATGCTTAATAGTGATGGAATCTTTTTGCTTTTAGGGGCACCGGGTCATAACCTGTTGAGCGGATTGGTTTGCAAAAGCTTGTGGCTGTTAGGCACAGATTGTATCACTTGGCGAAGCGAGTGGGAAAGTAAAGGAGTCTGTAAATCTGTTGTGGAGAGTTGTTAATTACTCCCACTAGGACACAGAGTGCAATATAAACTATATTTTGTAATAATAAAATCTAGTGGTTGGTATTTACGTCAAAGCGCATTAATACTAACCTCACAATTAATGGGAGATTAGTGACGTGTCTTCTACACATCCCTGTCTTTACCATAATTGGAAGCACCAATTTCAATAAGAAGAATTTGGAAAACTACATAATTTATTCCTTGCAACATTTGATTGTGACAAAAAGACAA